GACTCTTGACAAATCGATATCAGAGCAGGAAGACAAAGTTATCCACTAGGAAGACAAATCATTAAAACTCTGGATTTATGGACGAATGATGATAAGAAGCAAGTTGTGATAGATACTAAAACTAGAACTATTATTGTAATACCACTACCTGATGATGTTTATCAATCTGTTATGAATCTTACTTCTGAAAGAGATATGTGGAACACTCTCACTCTTCTATTTGAATGTACGTCTGAGGTAAAGCAGAGCAAAAGGATCAGCATCAGATAATACAAATTGTTTGTGTGCAACAAAAACGAATATCTCAATGATGTATACATGTTTAATTCTCTCGTAAATGAACTCAAAGTGAATGACATGATTTTTGATAATGTTGAGGTACTGTGCAAATTCATGGGTTCTTACCAAATTCATGGGATAATATGACCGTGTGGTTAAAAATTTCTAAGATCTAGGATTTTATAAACATTAAGATCTAGGTTTTTTGAACCTTGGTCTTCTTCAACATCAAGAACGAGATTCTTTTTTTCAAATCTTCATCTTTTTCATCAACAAAATTATGGTTTTTGTTTTGGTTTTATTTTTTATAAATGGTTTCTTATCTGTCATCGAAAAGCTGAACAAACCAAATCTGATGGAAAAGAGAAAGGATGACGACCATACAATCTTTTAGATTGAGCTTCATCTTCAAGAAACTCCTCCCGACTTGATTTACTCTGATTATGCTCATCATCTCGGTTTGTATTTTCCGTCATCGCAACATAATCCAATTGCCCAGAACCATGAGATTAATATGTGTAATCATCACGGTGAATTATTCGAAGCAGATGAAGAGGATTGTCATCAGGGGATCGGGTAAGGGAACGCTTGAGAGGATGAAGGAAACAGAAAATGAAATAATTGAAAGATGAGTATCTCGATTCTCGTAGAGAATAACGAAGATTAGGTTCTTTTGTTTTCTTTATTATAAACATTCTAATAGAAAACAGAAAAAGATATATAATTTTTAAAACTAATTTTATATCAACAAAATCTACATCAATAGCCACATCAACAAACAAAAACGAGTTGTATGTCATGTCATTTGTCAGTTCAACATTATAATCAGTTAATGATTTAACAAGTCATTTGGATACTTAAATGTTTGAGATTTTACATCTCAGGTACAAATGTCAAAAGTGTCTGAGGGTCCCAGGTTCAAATCCAATGAGGAATAAAAATCCCCTTGTGGCCAAAGAAGTTCAAATACAGTGACTCCGGACTACCTGCAAAGCAGGTGGTCGTTTCGGGATTAATCGGCTCGCATAACGAGTTGGATATCTAGATTAATCAAAAAAAATTAATGTTTTAAAAAAACGTTACCCAAAATAAAAATAAAGTGAAAGTGCTTTATTTTTTCATGCAATTCGCAAATAAAAACATTATTTTACTATGTCATTTTTCACGAGATGAATGGACTTATCTATGGATTCATTTAGTGATGAAAACACCATAGGGGCTATAGCCACCCCGTTTTTTTTTTTTACTGAAATACCATATGTTACCTTTTAAAAACGCATATGATGGGTAGCTTGATTGGTTATAAACATGTGTCCCCTGTCCCCGATTTATGGGTTTGAATCCCATACTTTGAGTTCTCGCATCTTCATGATGCAATGACTTGGGTTGTCGAAACATATTGATGCGATGACTTGCTTCTATCGCATCCTTGTGATGCTAGAAGGGAGTTTGTCGCACTTTTGTGATGCGACAAATTGGGTTACACATCTTAATGATGCGACAAGATGTGTTTATCGCACCAGTATGATGCGATGAGAGGGGTCATCGCACCTAAGAAAATAATGGTTTTATCCATATGATGCGACAAGTTTATGTGTTATGCGATAAAGAGTTTATTTTATTATTTGATGCGATAAGTGGGTATTGTCTCGTCATTTTGATGATACAAAATGAGGTTTGTTAGATAAAACGTTGTTTATTTGTTATTTATGCAAATATGAGTTTTATAAAAGTGTTTTGGTGATTTTCATCCTGTAATAGCAATCAAAGGGATTTCTCACTAGACCTCATGTTCAACCCTCATTCTGGTGTTTTAAAATGTACATTACAGGTCGGGGCACGATCGGATGATAAGGGGAAAAGGAAATTATGAAGAATTTATGATTGCTTCCATGTAGATTTTTGAGATAATGTGATATCTTTTGTACTTGAATAGTTGTTATACTTACAAGTCTTGTGCTGGATTATGTGGAAAAATTTGGTAGCTATTTTTGTAATGTATGTTTTGTAGATATTGGGAACAAATGTGTAAATTATATTTCATGATATATGAAATATGTCGTTATATGTAATTGTGATCCTAGAGTGTTACAAATATTATATAGGACCCGAAAATAAAACATTTTATCTAAAAGAGTTGTAATAAGTTTATAAGACACTTATGAACTTCCTAACAAGTTCTTTAATGACACTTTTAATTAAAAAAAAAGGCATATTACCAGTTTTATAGACTATTCAAAAATATTTTATAAACTAATATTTTTATATGATACTTTTTCAAATAGTATTCTATAAAATTGTTAATGCGATATTTTGTATTAAAAGTGTCCTAAAAATTGTTAAGATGTCCAAAACGTCCTATAAACTTATTACAACGCCTTTAAATAAGACGTTTTAGTTTTTGATCATATATTAAGTCTTATAAAATGATCTATTAGGACATTTAGTTTTTTTTTTGGCGTCATATAAGCCCGACTTTGTTGTAGCGTATATTACTATTTTTTGGTTAACAGTTTGAAGGTTCTAAGATTTAGTCTTATATTAACCAATCATTTTTTTTTTTAAATTTAATAATAGATCATAGCAAAAAAAAAAAATATGTGAGAATTATTTGGATCTCTGAATTTTTATAATATTATATTTCGACCCCTAGGCTACAACAGTCGTGTTCCGCCCCTAGATTCATTTATATCAAATAATGATATATGCACCCATGCATTATAATTAAGGGGAAAATCCAAAAAAAAAAACAACAAACTTTCTCATTTTGATTGGTTTAGTCCTTAACGTAATTTTTTCTTAATGGAAAAATCATTAAACTTTTTTTAATTTGATATGATCAAGTCCTTAAACTATTTTTTTTAATGAAAAAACCATTAAACTTTCACGTTTTAAATAATTAAGACCCTAAACCTTTTTATAAAAAAAATAAATAAACAATTGAACTTTTACTAGTCGGTTGATTCAACTCTTTTTGGATTAAAAAAATGTATGTAAACAATTTTTAAAAGTGCGATGTTTTATTTATTAAAAAAATGTTCAAAGACTTAATTAATCAAAATAAAAAAAATTAATGTTTTTTCATCCAAAATAACAGTCAAAAAACTTAATCATTTAAAATAAGAAAGATTAATGATTTTTTTCATTTAAAAAATAATTTAAAGACTAATCATTAAAAAAATAGAACAGTTTGTTGATTTTTTTAACTTTTTCTTATAATTAATGCATATATATA